TCTTTTTTAAAAAAGCATTTATTTATTTATTTATTTATTTATTTATTTATTTATTTATTTATTTAAGAGAGAAAGCATGCACATGCAAGGTGGGGGGCAAAGGGAGAGACTCTCAAGCAGACTCCCCACTCAGTGTGGAGCCTGCCACCATGGGTCTTGATCTCACAACCTATGAGATCATGACCTGAACCAAAATCACAAGTCGATGCTTAACCAACTGAGCCACCCAGGCACCCCAGTTTTATTTATTTCTGTTCTAATATTACTTCCTTCCTTCTACTACCTTTGGGCTTTGTTTGTTTGTTTGTTTGTTTGTTTGTTTTTCTAGCTCTGTTAGGTATAAGATTAGGTTGTTTATTTGAGCTTTTTCTTGTTCTTGAGATAGCTTGTGTTGTTGCATCCTGGTTTTTTTCATTTAACAATATATCTTGGAGATCATTCCAAATCAGCACATAGAGAGATTCCTCACTCTTTTTTATGATATTTTACAGTTTATTCAACTAGTACCCTAATATGGTTATGTGTGTTGTTCTGGTCTTTGTTATTATAAATAATGCCTCAATGAATAACTGTGAATATGTTGTTTCTTACTGGCACAGATGTATATTCAGGATGGATCCTTGAAATAGGAACTCTGGGACAAAGGATATATACATTTAAAATTTTGTTAGATATAGCCAAACTCTTATCAATAGGGGTTGTACCATTTTGCACTTCCATTAATAATATATGAGTGTGCTTCTTTCTCAGTAGGCAATGTGAGTTCTTTTGAAGGTTTCATATCCCTTTGTTCCTTCCAAGTTGCTCTTTCAATTTTCCATTCAGTCTTTTATGTTAGTTGCTTTTCTCAGATGTCTTCTGATCCTTGACTGCCTGTTTACACTAAGAATAAGAGACGTTAAATAGATAGTTGGATAGGGCTTGTTTATTGAAGGCTTCTTTAAATGGTTATCTGAGGACTGCTTCTTTGGGGAACCAGGCCAGATTTCAGATATTTTCTTTGGGCTGGTCCTATTTCCAAGGGAAGAATATTTCAATTTCCTTCTTAAGGGGTAATCCTGGCTACCAGGATTTTGGAAACCCAGTGAGGCTGGGAGATCTTTGTATTAAATATCGGTGATCAGTGTTTTGGTGGGGAGAGAAGGGAAAATAATATTTTAGAAGAGAATCTGTACCACCCTAGATTTAAATTGTCAGCCTGTTTTGTATAGAAGATTAAAACCATATGGCAGCATGGCTTCTCTCTACCTCCAGTCCTTTAACAGAATTGGGGATATAGTTTTGTTCATCTTCTTGACAATAGGATATTGTTAGCTAATGGGTAATACAGCTTGACGTCCAAAATTGTGATGCCACCAGCGTTGGTTTTCTTTTTCAACATTCCTTTGGCTATTTGGGGTATTTTCTGTTTCCATACAAATTTTAGGATTATTTGTTCCAGCTCTGTGAAAAAAGTTGATGGTATTTTCAAAGGGATTGTATTGAATGTTTAGATTCCTCTAGGTAGCATGGACATTTTAACAATATTTGTTCTTCTAATCCATGAGCATGGAACATTTTTCCATTTCTTTGTGTCTTCCTCAGTTTCTTTCATGAGTGTTCCATAGTTTTCTCAGTATAGATCCTTTGCTTCTTTGGTTAGGTTTATTCCTAGGTATCTTATGGTTTTTGGCGTAATTGTAAATGGGGTCAACTCCTTCTGTCTCATTGTTAGTGTATAGAAATGCAGCTGATTTCTCTGCATTGATTTTATATCCTGCCACATTACTAAATTCCTGTGCGAGTTCTAGCAATTTTGGGGTGGAGTCTTTTGGGTTTTCCACATAGAGTATCATGTCATCTGCAAAGAGTGCAAAGAGTGAGAGTTTGACTTATTCTTTGCTGATTCGGATGCTTTTTATTTCTTTTTTTTGTCTGATTGCTGATTGTTGTCTGATTGCTAGGACTTCTAGTACTATGTTGAAAAGCAGTGGTGACAGTGAACATCCCTACCATGTTCCTGACCTTAAAAGAAAAGCTCTCAGTTTTTCCCCTTTGAGAATGATATTCGCTTTTATATGGGCTTTTCATAGATGGCTTTTGTTATTGAGGTATGTTACCTCAATCCCTAAACTGTGAAGAGTTTTAATCAAGAAAGGATACTGTACTTTGTCAAATGCTTTTTCTGCATCTATTGAGAGGATCATATGGTTCTTGTCCTTTCTTTTATTAATGTAGTGTATTTTGTATTTGATTTGCAGATATTGAACTGCCCTTGCAGCCCAGGAATAAATCCCACTTGTTCATGCTCAATAATTCTTTTAATGTACTGTTTGGATCCTATTGGCTAGTATCTTGGTGACAATTTTTGCATCCATGTTCATCAGGAATATTGGTTTGTAATTCTCCTTTTTGGTGGGGTCTTGGTCTGGTTTTGGGATCAAGGTAATGCCGGCCTCATAGAAAGAGTTTGGAAAGTTTCCTTCCATTTCTATTTTTGAAAAAGCTTCAGAAGAACAGGTATTAATACTTTAAATTCCCCTGGGAAGCCATCCAGCCCTGAACTCTTGTTTTTTGGGAGATATTTGATTACTGCTTCAATTTCCTTGCTGGTCATGGGTCTGTTCAAGTTTTCTATTTCTTCCCGGTTCAGTTTTGGTAGTTTATAACTCTCTAGGAATGCATCCATTTCTTCCAGATTGCCTAATTTCTTGGCATATAGCTGCTTATAATATGTTCTTTTAATTGTTTGTATTTCTTTGGTGTTGGTTGTGATCTCTCCTCTTTCATGATTTTATTTATTTGGGTCCTTTCTCTTTTCTTTTTGATAAGTCAGACTAGGGATTTATCAATCTTATTAATTCTTTCAAAGAACCAGCTCCTAGTTTCATTGTTCTGTTCTACTGTTCTTTTGGTTTCTATTTCATTGATCTCTGCTTTATATTTTTTCTCTTCTCCTGCTGGGTTTAGGCTTCATTTGCTGTTCTTTCTCCAGTTCTTTTAGGTGTAAGGTGAGCTTGTGTATTTGAGACTCTTCTATTTCTTGAGAAAGGCTTGTATTGCCAAGTACTTCCCTCTTAGGACCACCTTTGCTGCATCGCAAAGGTTTTGAACAGTTGTGTTTTCATTTTCATTTGTTTCCATTAATTTTTAAAATGCTTTAATTTCCTGATTGACCCATTCATTCTGTATTAGGATGCTCCTTAGCCTCCATGTATTTGAGTTCCTTCCGAATTTCCTCTTATGATTGAGTTAATGTTTCAAAGCACTGTGGTCTGAAAATATGCAGGGAATAATCCCAGTCTGGTTGAGACCTGATTTGTGACCCAGTATGTGATCTATTCTAGAGAATGTTCCATCTGCACTCTAGAAGAATGTGTATTCTGTTGCTTTAGGATGGAATTCTCTGTATGTATCTGTGAAGTCCATTTGGTCCAATGTGTCATTCAAAGCCCTTGTTTCCTTGTTAATCTTTTGCTTAGATGATCTGCCCATTGCTGTGAGTGGGATGCTAACGTCACCTACTATTAATGTATTATAATCAATGTGTTTCTGTAATTTTGTTAATTGGTTTATATAATTGGCTGCTCCCAAGTTAGGAGCATAAATATTTATAATTTTTAGATCTTCTTGTTGGGTAGACCCTTTCAGTATGATATAGTGTTCCTTTTATTCCCTTACTATAGTCTTTGGTTTAAAATCTACTTTGTCTGATGTAAGGATTGCTACCCCAGATTTCTTTTGATGTCCCTTAGCATGATAAATGGTTTTCTACCCCCTCACATTAAATCTAGAATTTGTTTCAGTATTTTAACACAAAACAGAATTGTTATGTCAGTCATTAACCAAAATCTCAGCAGTTTCTGTGTTTACCATTGATTCTCATACTGTCTTTTTCTCTCTGGATTCTTTTTTCTCAATTTTTGTTTTTTTTCTTGGAATTTAATTATCTTGATTCAACCTGAATCTGCAAAAATAAACAGGCAACAATAGCAAGTATAGAAGGAGTGGTGGGGCCAAGTAATAATTATATAGTTTCAGTAAATAAGATAGTATATTAATAACATGGGATTAAGCAGAGATCAGTGGAATGAAATTAGTGACTCAGGTTTAACCTGTGAGAATGAAAAAGCAAGTGCTATAAATCATTGGTCAAGTAATGGATTATTCAGAACCATATTCACGCATTACATTATTAATTTGGACCAAAAATCTTAGAATCCTATCTCATAATATGTTTCAAAGTAAGTTAGAGGTGTATTAAGTTTTGTATATATATAATGTCAAACTAGAACAAAACTAGTAGAAAATAAAAATGCATATCAAACTTATAAGAACATTTATAAGTATAGGAGTTAGTGGTTGAAATGGATATGTAATATATAAGTATACCTTTAAAATCAAAGGGTATATGACTATAAAAATGTTTTGAAAAACATAAAGCTTTAGAGATTTAGATTATTTATGAGTTGTAGGTAGTATATATAGTGGTAAGAGATAAAGCTTTGAAAGCAAATATGACAGTTACCTGTTCTGCAAAATCAGAGTGCCATCCCCATTAACTAATATACAGTGCAAAATTTGTTCAATAAATGTTAATTGAATACATTTTGAATTAGTCTGTCTGAGGCAGTTTCCTCATTGGTAAGGTGGCCATGTATTGTCATTTTCCTAGAATAGTCATGATTTATACCTGTCCTCCTAGCATAATTATTAATAATGTCTTCTGCCTTTATTCTCAGAAATGTACCAATTTTATCAGTAAATCACATGGTCATCCTATTTATAAAATTTGGAAAATGCCAGTCTTGTAGAGATGATTTAAAGGTTACAAATAATCCATGTAGAGTTATATACACAGTACTTAGCACATGTAGTAGGTGTTCAGTAATGGTAGCTACCATAGGAACAGCTTAGGTTGCTTGTGTAAATATTGATTTTTTTTTTCAGTTTTTAAAATTGAACCTATTATCTGACAATATTTAATATCATTTGATATCTGAATTATCTTTTATTCTTAGGCAAAGAAGTCAATACTGACATGGTAAGCTATAATATTTATGAACAAAAAAATTATTAGTATTAATGGTTATTACTATGTTTTCTTTGTACCTCAAATGCTTTATGAATAACTACTGATTTCAGTAGTGATAGTTACAAAAATTTTGCTTTTAGAATTGTGTTAAAGGTGTTTTTTCAAGTATAAAAATTGTCTCTATAACACAGGTTCATTATCTAGAATAAATATGTTTTGCTTTAGCTCTATGCTTGAATTAGCCCCCATGAATATATTATTCTGAAAATGGACATATTCTGAATTTAGCTTTATGATCCAAATTTTATTTGTTTAAGAATTTATCATTTGTAATGGATAGGACATTTATCTTTGAATTATGAAATTTTGCTAAGTAAATTAATATATAAATGAAAGATATTTTAATGACTTTAGAACAAATATTAAAAACACTGTTTGTGTAAAAGTCATATTAATTTATAATATCTAGTTTTTATATAAAAATGAGAACAAGAGAGTCTTTTCAGGAACTAATTTAACAAGGTTAAAGGTAACAGTTGCAGCCTTTTATCAGCACTGGTTGCAGTGTATTTCTTTATTGTTTTTTGTTTTGGCTTCATCATATCACAAAAGTCTTGATTCACAGTGGTGTTATACTCATCTGAATACTCTTCTGAAAGTGGACCTGGGCTGGCCAATCTGAATTTAAGCCAGCAGCTCCATACCAAACTATACTTTCCTAAATTATACTAGCACAAGAATTTGGAATGTATGCAGAAATGACCAAACAAAAAAGTTTACTCCAAGGTCTATGTCTGTTCTCTCTCCCGATCTCTCTCAATCTCTCTCCTAATCTTTCTCCATTGACACCCAAACTAATACATTGATGATCTCCCAGTTTGTGTAAACATGTCATATGTAAGATCTGAGTTTGTATTTGTAATTGATTTTTTAAAACCTGGAAATATTCAAACCACACACAATCATAGAACAATTTGAAAATCCCTTTTGATTTTTAACAGGTAGTAGTTTGACCTATTCTGATACTATGCACTTAACAATGAAATTCCAGTTCTTTAAAATTCACTTATTTACCTCTTAAAATAGTTTTCTATGCTTAATTAATATGCCTTAGTAGTATGGATTAATATGCATTTGTAGTCTATTATATTTATGAGTGTCTTGTTTTATTCAGTTGTAACAATTGAAGTATAATCAAATTTCCTTTACTATTAACCAGTATTTAAGTTAATCAGTATTGAAATCAGAAACTAAATTGCTAATGTAGCGATAAAGCTATATAAGTTTTCAGTGAAAACAAAGACACAGCTTTTGTTTTGGGCTTATAAAATGGTGATATGTAACATGTAACTTTTTAAAAGGTATTTATAAACACGATTTTATAACTTCCTTTTTTTACTAGAGATTGGAGGTAATCTGATATAAACTATACATGTCTCAATCTCCTTCCTTTTTAAGCACTGTTCACGTCTCAAGCAAAGGAAAGGCAGAATTTATTCCATGGATTTAAGTAAAGCTTCTAATATACCCTTTCTGAATGAAGTCTCCTATGTATTACTCTACATGGATTTACATATTGATGTAAACTTTTATTTGAATTTTTGAAAAACTGAATGGGAAGAAGAATTTTACTTCATCTGAAGAAAAATTGCATAGTAGAAGGTGGAAGGAAAGCACACTAGTTAGACTTAATAATTAATGCCCTCAGAATTTACCAGATGGATAGCTACATCATGGTTGTAGGAGTTAGAATCAATATTTAAAGATTTTTAAATGAAATTTTATAGAACAAAGAAGCTGAGCTTTGCTAGTCTTAATACCATCTTATTAAAACCCATTTGAACATAGGGTTCAATTATGTATTTGTTACTAGTTTTGGAGGAAATATATCGGTTTTTAAGATTGATCTAGGAGATACATGCAGTAAGATTATTGAATTATGAAAGAGATTTAGAGAATTTATTGATTTCTTATCATCCTAAAATATTTCAAACCACAGCTGTAACTCATTACTTGACTGTTAGATGAAGTGCAGTGGCTACTCAAGTGCTGTGTAATGTAAAACCTTATGCCAGTATCTCATGATTCTAACCATACTTATATATACTAGAAAAAGAGTCAAGAGTTTAATATAGAAATTTGACTAAATTTATACAATATGGGTTTTTAAAAAATTCAGTAGTTTTTCATTGTTAGAAACACTCATCCTGTAATTCCTTTGAAGACTAATTCTTTTTAAGACATTAAACTGTCATTCCTACTATCTTTAATGAATTGACAAGTCATTTTGTCTCTAGGTTGCCATTTTGCCTTATTTTCCCCTGAATTAATGGAATTAACTGCTCTAGCAAGTGTTTTAAAATCTCAGTTTTCTAAGGGAGGCTCTATTTTTCATTCTGCTCCTAGTTTTTCTTTTATATCTACCTCAACTGTTTCTTTTAACAATACAAATTGTTGGTCCACCTTTCCGTATGAACACAAAAGAATGCAAAATAAATATGTAATTACTAGAAGGTATGTATATCCAGTTACAGTAAAAATTAAACAATTAAGTATAATCTTGTATGGGAAAGGAATTTAAAAATCCTTTAAGGTGTACATTGAACTTTTGTAGTTGATACACCACAGCATGTACTTCCATGCAATTCCAAGGAAAAAGCCCCTTTCTTGATAATTAAATATGATAAAGATTAAGATAGCTTGGATAAATCATTGCATGTAGTAATTAAATTTATAAAGACTGAGAACCTTATGAAATCTACATAAACAACTCACAGATTTCATTATCATATGATTTGGATTACTGACTATACTTTGACTTATTTTACAAATCAGAAAATACCATGGGTTGTTTCTAGGTAACATAATTTTACCACATTATAGGCAGAGTTAAGCTTTATTAGATTCCACAGTAAAATTGGTGTTTTTCTTTATTCTTTTGTTGTAAAAATTTGCTTCCTGTGTTTCTTTTCAAAGCTTAAGCAAAAAACTAATATAGTTTTTATTGATCATAACATGTTTCTAGAAGGACCAGAAAAGTTGTAACTAAATGACCTAGCAGAGGACACTTTACTGTAAAGCTGTAGAGTATTTTATTTGAATTTGTACCTGAGCTAACAAGGAAAACGAACTGTTGGGGGGAAAATCTGAATGCTTTATATAATCTTAAATAATTAAAATGTATATATTTTATGTGTTTTTCCTCAGGTGGTATATCTCAAAATATAGACATATTCTCAAGGACTCTAAGTATTTTTAAATGTTAGTGAACCTCTTTTTCTAACGCTAATTTGACAAACGTCTTTATTTTAGGAAAAGAAAAGAAAGAGACTGGAACGCTTTGGACTCCTTTGATATTCTACCTTAACGTTTCCTCTCCAAGTTTTATATATTAAAGTAAATATAATGGCCAAATTAAAATATTTCTGTGTTCTTTCTTATCACCAATACATTAATATTTTCATTGACATTGATTTTGTAATTGTCTCATAATGTACTTTATAAAATTTAAAAAGTAGTTATCCATGTTTATTAAATTACTAGAATGGAGTTCTTTTACTTGGGATATTTTAAGTTGATTGTGTTATACTATGTTTTAAAAACAAGCAAACATAAAAAGCCAAAACTATATAGTTATATTTATGGAATTCACAAATTTTGGTTACTTTGACTTGCTTTAGGTGAGTGATTTTATAAAAATATTGAATTTCCTTATGGCGGCCTTGGATTAAATACATACAGCTACAGATTAGCTGGGATACTTGTCAAAATAAATTATAAGCTCAAGCTTCATCATCATTTGTAGTTTAAACATAACAAATCTGATACAGTGTTACTTCATAATTTTGATGCTCTTTGCAGTAAATTTGATATAGAACAGTTGCTAAAGAAACCCTGTTCAAATGTGTGACCATTTTTATGGAAAACATCTGGGGTAATTATAATTAGTTCAGGATGTGTACTGTTTAAAAATAATCCTGAATTCATGGAGAAAGAAGTGTATCTTTTCCTCAATGACTAGAATAATCCAAGTTAGTATAAAAAATTCTTTAAGTTATTGCTAGCTGTGCTTAGAGTATAATTTTAGAGTATTCCAAAAGGAAATGAGGAGTAACTTTTATGTAAAATGCCAAATTGGCACTTTACACCTGTTAGTGTGTTTCGTTTAGAACAGCTGTGTCTTTTATTATCAGTAAACAGATGCAGAAAGTAATGGAATGTTTTAAAGCAATATGTTAATCCTGTCTTCCACTACTGAACTGTCTCACAATATAGTGATTAAATATTGACTCTGCAGCTGTTACTTACAATTATAGAATTTCTTAGTTAATTTCCCCTTCCCAGGCCCAAATGAGATCTAATTTCTAATTTTAAAGTGTTCATAATGTAGTTTGTATATTACAATTTGATTTCTGAAGATAATTTATTTGACTTGAGACAAATTCATATGTTTATAAAACTATTGTTTCTCTGAATTGACTAATTTATTAAACATATTCTAACTGGCATAAATAATTTTTAAAAGTATTTTTAAAAATATATTTGTTCATGAATATGAAGATGATTATTAAATGTAACAATTTTGTTTGATTTTATGCTTGAAAAATGCCATCAATGAGCTAAAAAGGAAATTATGGTTCTTTTATCAAATATTTCTGGAGCAGAGTGCATAATACTTTCTTAGAATAATGAACACATTCAGGCAAAATCACCCTGCAAATTATTTCAGTTCTAGTGGCCCTTTTGCAGTTTAATTATGTTGTAATCCTTACATCTCACCCTGTCAGAAAAGATATTTTATATGCTATGTCAATAATTCTTTTTATACTTGAGCAACTGTATTAGGTAAGATTATTGTTATTATTAATAGCTAGCATTTATTGTGCTCTTAATATCTGAAAGGATTTATGCAAAGAACTTTACAGGTATTATAATGTTCTTGCCCCTTTTGTAGATGAGGGAGTTCAACTTTAGAGATGGGATGTAAATGGACCAAGGTCTACAGCTGGGAAGTGGCGGAGACTGGATTTAAACCCAGGCATTTTCACTCTCAAGCCACTTATTCTTTTTTTTTTTTAAGATTTTATTTATTTATTTGAGAGAGAGAGAGAGTATGAGCAGGGGGAAGGGCAGAGGGAAAGGGAGAAGCAGACTCCCCAATGAGAAGAGAGTCCAGGGGCTCGATCCCAGGACTCTGAGATCATGACCTGAACCCAAGGCAGATCCTTAACTGACTGAGTCACCCAGGTGCACCGCAAGCCACCTGTTCTTAACAACTTTGCATTTTGCCTTCCTTTAGCATCTAATACTAACATTATATAGAAGAGAAATTATGTGCAAAGTGAACTTTGTGTCCTTCTTTTGAAGCCACTCTGTGCACCCCAAGTGACAATTACCTCATTCAGTCCTTTTGCCTAAATAAAGAACACAACTAAAACATGCATAGAAAGATGAAGAGTTTCAGTTCTTGTTATCTCACCACATAACTGTGTCAGTGTTCTTCAGCATCATCAGAAGTGTCACAGGTATTGTGACATAGTTTACACTAGAAAATATTTTGAAATCCCTCCTTATGATTTTACTCTATTTGTGCTGCTTTATGGAGACAACTCCAGCAATCTGTTCCCCTTCCCAAAAAGGAAACTTTCTTTGGTTCAAGAGATTTTAAAGAGCAGCATGATGTAATTTATACCTATGTTATATTATTTATACCTTAACCTAGAAGTATCAATTATTATTGAAATTTATTAAATGACTGTTCACTGCCAGATAGCATTACTACTTCCATACTTGTAGTTTATTTTGTCATTTGCTGTAGGAAGTATGCAATTTTATATACGAAGAAATGGAGTCTCAGAGGTATTAAATAAATTGGTCAAGATCACAGCTAGCAAATGATGTTTGTATGCATTTTATTTAAAAAAAGCTCTAGAAGTCTAAACGTGTCCAGCTAATTATTTTTGTAGAGACCTTTAAGATTTCCATCTCTAACAGATGGTTTCTTCAATGTAGTTTCCCCTAACACTGATGAGAATGCTTATAAGATTAAATAGGATCAACAACGTCATGAGGTATTGCTAGAAGAAACTTAATATAGTAGAAGCCCATTATAAGGTGGTATTTTAGTGGCAAAATATTCTTGCATGAAAGTTGTTTGAAATATCAGAAGAAAAATACATGCAATTTTAAATAATACTACTACTACAGACGATGTACCCTTTACCCAGTTCCCCTTAATGATGGCATATTGCAAAAGTATATAGTGCAATATCCCAGCTAGGACATTGATGTTGAAACAGTCAAGATACAGAACATTTCCAGCACTACAGGGATCCCTTGTGTTAACCTTACAAAGCCACATCTGCTTCCTTTCCCACTTCTTTCCCTTAACCCTGACAACTAATGTGTTCTCCATTTCTATAATTTTGTGATTTAAGAATGTTATATAAATGGAATCATACAGTATGTAACCATTTGGGAATGGCTTTTTTTTTTCTCCACTCAGCATAACTCTAGAGATTCATCCAGAGAGTTGTTGAATGTATCAGTAGTTTTTTATTTTTTGTGGCTGACTAGTATTATTCCATAGTATGGATGTGCCACTGTGTTTAACCATTTACCCATTGAAGGACATCTGGGTTGTTTCCAAAACAGTGTAAAATCTGTTTTTTTCAATGGTACTAAAGTTTTATATTTTACACTTAAATCTTAGGTAGATTCTTTTTTGGTGAGAGTCAGGGGGAGATAATGGACACAAAATTGGTCCAGTACAATTGTTGAAAGAGCTATCTTTGCTTCATTGAATTGTTTTTGTACTTTAGTCAAAAATCAGTTAGCCACATTTCTATAGGTGTGTTTCTTGGTTCTTATTTGTGTTCCATTGATCTATGTGTGTATCCCTATACTAATATGAAGTCTTGATTACTACATCTATGCCATGCCTTAAAAATGGGCTGTATTCCTCTCACTTTGTTTTTTTTTTCAAAATTATTTTAGGTTTTCTAGCTTCTTTATCCTTCATATAAATTTTAGAATATTCTCACCTATATCTACAAAAATTCTTGCTGTGATTTTGATAGGAATTGAATGAAGTTTGAATATCAGTGTGGAGACTGTTGAAATCTTAACTATATCGAGTCTTCTAATCCATGAATACAGTATATTTCTCCATTTATTTAGAATTTTTATCTCTTTTATCACTATTTTGTACTTTCCAGCATCCAAGTACTATAGGTCTTGTTAGAGTTATACCTAAGTAATTCATTTTTTTGAATGGTTATAAAGGGTATTGTATTTTCACATTTTGTGTCTATGTGGTCATTGCTAGTATATGTTTATCTTGTATCCTGCAACCTTGCTGAACTCATTAGTTCTAGGAGTTTTTTATGGATTCCTTGGGATATTCTTTCTATTTTTAAAGATTTTATTTATTTATTTGTCAAAGAGAGTGAGAGAGAACAAGCAGGGGGAGCGGCAGGCAGAGGGAGAAGCAGGTTCGCCACTGAGCAAGGAGCCCAATATGGAACTCCATCCCAGGACCCTTGGGACCATGACCTGAGCCAAAGGCAGATGCTTAACTAAATGAGCCACGCAGGCATCCCTCCTTGGAATTTTCTATGTAGACAATCATGTCATCTGCAAATAGGAACAGTTTTCTTTCTTTTCAATTTCTGTGCATTTCTTTTTTCTACCATTCCCCTGGCTATAACTTCCAGCATCATGTTAAATAGAAGTAGTTTAGAGAGGACTTCCATTTACTGGTTCCCTATCTTGGGATTTCTTTCTAAGTTTCTCCCTGCAGTTTTACCATTAACTATAACGTTGGCTGTAGGTTTTTGTAGATACCCTGTCAATTTAAAGAAGCTCCCTCTATTCTCAATTTCTGAGTTATTTTTTTAAAATTATGAAATAGGTGTTGAATTTTGTCAGATGTTTTTATGCATTGATCGTTATGATCATGTGATTTTTCTTTATCGTGTTAATAGTGAAGGCATACATTGATTTTTCAAATATTGAACCAGGCTTGTATCCCTGGAACAAACCCCGTTGATCATAGTGAAAAATCCTTTCTGTATACTGATGAATTCTATTTGTTAATATTTTGTTAAGGATGTTTGCATCTATACTTATGAGGGGTATTGGTCTGTAGTTTTCTTTTTATATACTGTTTTTTATTTTGGAGTCAGGGTATGACTCATAAAATGAATTGAATTGCAAAGTGTTCCCTCCTCTTCTGTTTTCTGGAAAAGACTGCAGAATTTCCATCAGTTCTTCTTTAAACATTTGGTAGACTCCTGGGCCTGAAAATTTAGTACATTGGGAGTTTTTTTAGATGATGGGTTATTCAATCTAAGGTAATTATGATTATGTTGGATATTATCTGTTTCATAATGGATGAGTTATGGTAGTTTGTGTTTTTC